TCCAGATATACCCTTTCATCGACGCCCGCCGCCGCTCGGCCCCGTCGGCGCGCTCCTTCGTTTCTTGGCGCGCTGTGAACAATTCGGTATGCGCGCCGCTCTGCGGGCTCCCCCTCCCTCGATTGCTTTCATCCGCCGGCGCGAATGAAAACTTCGGCCTGATTCCGGTGTGCAGCGGAACACGACCTCCCCCCGCGGGCCGCTCGCGCTTAAGGGGTAGGATACTTTGTCAATCCCATCCCGCCTGTGGCAATCCCTGCTTCATCGGAAGCAAATGATTACTACGAATTTCCGAAATACATTTACCTGACTAAATAGAAGGATGAAAATCCAGGACTGTGAATACCTTGTCTTGTATCTCATCCAGCTGATTGGCTAAGAACCGCTGATGAGCTTTGATCGTTGCCTCCATTTGTTTTCTCGTCCTTGGAACTACAAGTGAGTAGTGGTGGAAATACGCCAATAACTCGGAAAATGACAACACTTCCAGGCCTTTCCCCTCAGATCTCTGTCTCCAGAAATCACTGTTGGTAAGGACTCTGTCCCACACTACCTTCTGAGCATCATTACTGATCAATGGCCTCTTATCGATCAGTATTCAACCTGGCTCTTGTAATACCCTTCCCCCGCTCGTCACCTCCTTGTGTGGTTGGTCTTCTTGAACCTTCAGCTTTGTCAATGACTTGCGATACTTCAAACCCCAGGATCCCCATGGCATTGGTTGCTGCCGTTCTTCTCGCCATTTCTGTGACTCCTTCACTCTCCTCTCCCAGCATGCACTTGCAGTCAATTCAGCATCCGTCCACTGCTGCCGGCTCTCAAACTCTTTGCGAGTCACATTCAGGCAAACCAGACACTTACCATCAGACATCCAGCAATCTTGTATGCAGCTCCATACAGTGAGAACACCTTCCTCATGCAATGACATCAATGTTTCTGCCTTGACGAGATTTTCTCTTCTCAGCGCAGTAATGTTGCTGAAGTAGTAAGAATAGAGTCCCGGCCGTTCAAAACGGAAAAGACCATAAGCATCCACGTGCTGGCACATCTGCAGAGCAAGCATAACTGCTGTGAATGCCACAGAAGGGTTGGCTCTATTGATGTCCATAACGGAGCCTACAAACAAAGGATTGGCTATGAGCACATCGGCAGATTCATGCGAAGTTCGATGGAGCCGACTCAGCATAAGAATCTGTTCTGCCAGAACTTCGGATGACAGAATGTTGATAATCGGCTCATTCTCTTTTTCTCTGAACCCAAACCAGCGCCCCCCAACAACCCTCCATGTTGTCTTTGCACCAACGAATGCTTCGTAACCAGTGGTCGGCCCGCCATTGATCCTCATTACCATATCATGCCTGTCAATCTCCTCCCCTCTCCTTGTCATTTTCATCTCAGCTGCATTGCCAACAACTGCACATGTGTCATAGATCAATGGCTGATAAGCATTTGAGCTGTCCAATGTGCTGGCATCCCGCAGAACATCCTTTGCAGGTAGAATCTCTGCAAATTCATCCATGATCGAAGGCGACCACAATGCCAACGCTGATCTGAGAATTTCCACATGTTCCCAAGGATGGGGAGGTTTTCGCAGTTCGAATTTTGGCTTTTCCCACCACTTCGTGATCCTGTCTTTTGACAGTTTCTTGAATGTGCTCCAGTGGACCACCTGCTCTGGTAACATCTGTTCATAGAATGTTTCTTTGTCAAGCAAAAGCTTCCCGCCAAACATCCCTTCAGCCTCGGAGCTCTCGATTACTCTTCCTCTGCCTCTTAAACGGACTGCAACCTCACATTTGTTACCCCTCCAGAAAGCTGGACATTTGCAGCTTATCCCTGTTCCTGCTCTCACCACTCCGTGACAGTTGCACGAAGAATTCTGCCTTTTGCTCGCATCATATAGCTCTTCACCTTCTGTGCCATCCACCTTAAGCATCATGTTGCTATAACTGATGGTAGTATTCTGCATTTTCTCATTGCGCGTCTCACTTTCGCCATCACCATCTTCGAAGTCAAAGTCACTGAGAATCACCATGTCGGAAAAATCATCTTGTCCATTTGCAGAGCCATAATCGTACTCATCTGCAATATGCTGAAGATCTTTGTGGCCCATTCTGTTGACTCCTTTCCGTCCCTTCTCCACCTCCTCTCTTTCCTGGTCTTCCTCCCTCTCCTCATCTTTCTGCCTCCTCTCATCTAGATCCTCTCCATCTTGCCTCCTTCCCTCTTCCTCCTCTCTCTCCTCTCCCCCCCCCCTCCCCTCCTCTCCCTCTTGCCTCCCCTCCTTTCCCTCCTCTACTTCCTCTCCCTCCTCTCCCTCCTCTCCCTCCTCTCCCTCCTCTCCCTCCTCTCCCTCCTCTCCCATGTCTCCCTCCTCTCCCTCCTCTCCCACCTGCCCTATGTCTTCCACCACCTCCTCATCCAATTGTCTATGATGTTCCTTGATTGGTTCCTTGCCCACCCCTTCACCCACTGCTAGCACTTCAGACTGGTTTTGTTCTTCTCCTCCCATTGTCCTCCTCCTCTTGCTGGCCTCGCTTTTCTGCTCCTCCACCCCCATTGTCATCAGCCTTGTTCTCTGATTCCTCATATCGCTCGTCATCCTGGGTGTCCAACCTGACTATCTGCCATACCTGCCCTCTTCTTTCCATCCGCACTTGTATCTTCAGAACCTGCATGCCGCTGATCCTCCTCATAATCCGGAACATCATCACCATCTGCTTCAGCCAGGAACTTGCCCAAATATGGTGGAAATACTACTCCATCTACCAGATGAACGAGGACAGATCCGATGAGCACATCATTTGCCACGATTGGGAAACCATCCACCGTCACCTGGACCACATCACCATCCACATATTGAACCTCATGCTTCGACAGATCAACAGCTTCTAACACAAYAGATGATCGGTTCATTGCGTCCTTCACGTAATGGTGCGATGGAAAGAGGCTGGCTGCCATCATTTCTATCAGAACAGTCCTTATACTCCTTGCTTTACCAACTCTGAACAGCTGATATTTCAGCAATCCCATCTTGGACGGCAGGAAGAATGTGAACGGTTGGCTCCAATCAATCAGTTCTAACAAAGCAACTTGCACATCGCAGACCATCTATCATTTTCATGGGATTCTTCCTTCGTTTTGCTCTTTTTCTCCTTGCCTTCTGCTCTTTGCTGTTTTTTCCCCACATTAATTGCATTATTTGCACCTTTGCCTTCGTCTTCAACAATCAGCAAGTTATTATCGCTTGCCTGAAGGTCACGTTTCTCCTCGGACGAGAAGACGAGCCGTACTTCACCTGCTGCTCTGCTACTGTTAGCCATCTGGATGGCCCATAAAAGTACACCTGGCAGTTCTGCTTTGTGCTTGTCAGACTTCTCACGTGCATATGCTCCTTCATGGGACAACGATCTTTGATCAAAACTTGAATCTGAAGAGAAGCCAAATGGTTGATGAAGCCCCACCAACACGACCCCCACATAGATAACAGTTCGACAGAAAACCAGCTATTTCAGCCTTGAACAAAGGTGGAAAAGCAATAGCTGCGGCCGCAGCAGCACGAAAGGGTGGCCAAAGTGGGAAATTGAAGTCCCAATTGAATGTAGGAACATTACCTAAAATCGACAATGTAAGAGGCATGCTCAACAAAAATCAGTCTCAGCATAGGCTATCCATCTGCTTTCCCAGCTGATTGCAACAACAGATCGTCAACATTGGAGAACTTCAGGAGGATGGATCTCCCTGAGATCAACAGAGCCAGCAGATTCAAGAATAAAAGGGCATTGCTTTCAATGCACGGTTTCATCAGGCAGCCTGCCGTGAAGCCTGAGAGGGACTTTTTTTTTTTTTTTTTTTTTTTTTTTTCAARAAACAGGGCCTTAGGGTCCTGGCTCCTTCTATTCTGGGGAGCGTCAGTCCGGTTCCTTTTCCACCGGCAAGTCATAGAAAAAATTACATCAATAGGAACTCACACACGCTTCCTTCCGTCTGGCCGAAGGACCCCTGATCAGCATTGATTACTCCAGTGTGGTGGAGGATTGACTGTCAGCTTGCCCTAACCTTCTCTCTCCTCTCAGACCCGATTGTTCGGATCTGTCAGATCAACGTTATATCTAGAAAGAGACCCCCCAAAAAAAGACTAGACAACCTGAATCCTTTCCTTGTCTTCCTGAACCCTTGCGTGTACTGTAAATCAGCCTTAATCCCTGAATCCTCCTCCTGGGCGTCTGCCCTGCAATGGACCGTTAGGGAACTTGGACGAGAATAGCAGTCTGTTCGTGATCACCAAACATTGTCCTCTTTTTTTCCAGAGTATCTTGGTCCTTGCTTGATACTTTGCATCTTACGTCGTGACTAGGGCTTCAGATGCCGCCTGTTGTTGAGAGGCCCTTACCGGAATTGAGTTGTGCCATTCCTTCGAGCAAAGCCGATCTTCTCGCAGTTCTGCAATCTTGCCCTTGACCAGCCAATTTTTGCAAAAACTCAGCCTCACCTTTCTCCGCTGTTTTTCGTCTTCTATCCCCCTTTGTTTAACCTTCCGCCATCTGCAAAGAGTCTCAGCTTGAATCATCGTTCTGGTTTCTATCCAAACCTTCTCCCTTGGATTGGAGTGTCCTTCAATTGCTCTGCTGCATCTCTCCTTCCATATGACCCATAAGGTCGTTTTCCTGACGAGTTCAAACCAGATCCTTTCTGTCAATCGTGCTTGGACGGGGGTGTTAGTTAAGAGAAGTAGTTGGATGGGGTGGTTGGGAAAGGGCGATGAGAAGAGGGAATCCCAGAGTGATGAGGCTCTCTTCCAGTATTCTGTTGCTTCTTTACACCAGACTAGGCAGTGAACTATGTCTTCTACTGCTCCTTCCTTGCAGACTACATTGCTCTGAGCTATCCGGGTCTGAGGCTTTACATCTGGTATGTAGCCATCGGTTCACCGGTAGTGCTGCGTAAATAATTAACCACTGCAAACTTCTGATCTTGACTGGTCTGATACGTTTAAACTTATCCCAATGGATTTGGGTGATTTTATCTGCTTCCTGACCTATTAAGTTCCTCCATCTGTTTTGATGATCGGGTCAGGATCTTTAGTTATCAGAGTTAGTTTGTAGCCCAGTTTGACTGTATAATCCTGTATTGGGATTTTTGTCTTGATGTTCCTGGAAGTGTTGGATGACCAGGCCCATTCCGCCGGGTCAAACTCCAGGAACCGGATTTCTGTGTCCGGTCTAAAGATTGATTTTGGCCATGTACCCAGAGTTCTTACTTTCCTGAGGAGGAAGGAGTCTAGCACGGATGACTCAATATCGCAGTTTAGGATGGTAGACATGTTGTTGTTGAAGCCGCTGATTGGAAAGGAGAGRAAAGTGGCCTTGGTGTGTGAGCCAGGTTGCATATGGGAAAATTGATAGGCTCTGGAGGGGGTTAYGTCCTGGATCATAAGGCCCCAGTCGCCGGGTCTCCACCATTCATCTTTTTGCAAGATGTCTTTCCATTCCTGTGGGATACGGCTGAGGAGATACTGGAGATTGGTTCCTCTTTTGTGGCATCCTTTAAGTCGGATGCTGATTTCTTGTTCAGGTATCCAATCTTTTCTGTCCTCCTTCCATAAGTGGTCAATCTTCCATATGCCATTTTTGATCCAGGATAACCACCTCTGCTCAAGGAAGAGAGGGTTGTCTGCCTCGTTTGTTAACCATTCATTCCCAAAGAGCGGTTGTCTTAGTACTTCATCCTTGGATCTTGTCTGTTGGTTTTACTTGGGATTATTTTCCTCCATGACTGAAGAAGTGCCGGCCAATAAGGTGTAGGTGTAGGTGGTCGGAGGACTTCTGGTCTAAAGTTTCTTGTTCGATTCCTTCGTCTTGTCGTTATCTTCCATTCTTTGTTCATGACCCAAAACAGACCGGACATATCAATCGGGGAGGGTACCGGGGCTACTGATCTGATACTGTCCAAAGCTAGTTTGTTCCAAGCGCTTTCCGGATACGTCAGTAATTTAATGATCCATTTAATTTGCGGGGCCTTCGTTTCTGTTCCAGGATCTATAATTCCTAGGCCTCCTTTGCTTGGCGATCTTGTGACATAGTGCCAAGCTATTTTGGGTATGCACTTTTCTTTGTTGGGGTCTCCTGTCCATAGAAACACTCTGGCTTTTCTGTTTAGTTCTTTGACAGAACTGTCAGGAACTGTCCAAATGGAGGCAATGTACCACATCATTGAGAAAATCGATGTATTGAGGATTAGAGCTCGACCGATAAGGGAAGAGAAAGTATTACCCCATCTTCCCATTTTGTTAATCTGATTGGTCAGCACCGAGGCGCCAATCCTTCCTTCGTCATTTGAATGCCTAGATAACGGGTGGGTGTATCTGGCACCCGTTTTTAAAATTCCTTCTTTTTGGACTTTCGGATTTCGGACACTTGGCGCCATCCGGCATTCTGGCGGCCACTCTCAGACTTTCGATTTTCAGTTCTGGCCCTGAGGCATTTTCACTTTTGCCCTCAGGACCATACTTGAGTCCGGTACTTGAGTACGGACTCAAGCACGGTACGGCAACCAGTTGTCAGCCTCAGTGCTTGTGTTCAGTGTGACTTTGCTTCGACATTGTGTTCGGGCATTCAAGACTGCGACTTTGCGACTTTGCCACTTCGTGTCTGCGTCAGTCGAGTCGTGTCGAGTCTGCATCGAGTTGAGTGAGCGTGTGTGTGCGCTCTCACTCTCCCTCTCTCTCCCAGCCTCGCTGCTCTGCCTCTGCCTTGTCACAGATAAGATGCAAACTGATTCAGGGACACCAGTTGCTGGCTTCTCCACACCAGTTCAGCCCATTGGTGGTTTCACTTTTGGGTCGATGGGGAAGAAGAGATGGTTCATGGAATGCCCAAAATTCACTCATGGTTAATAGGTGGTGTCATTTTTGGCGAAATTTTCACCGAAACTGCCATATTTTCCTGAAACTTTGCGTTGTGTTTCATTTTTTTCTTTTTCCTTTTTCTGTTTGATATGTATGTGCTTTAGGGTATATCTGTATTAAGTTTCGACGGTTTTGGACCAGTAACAACAGCAATTTCGTCAAAATGGACATTTTTTTTAATTTTTGAACGAATTTGAAACCGGCTAATGAGGCCCGAATCCGCCGGAGCCAGGTTGAAATTTTGACAAACTTCAGCATCAGGCGTTCTTAAAACGCTGTACCCCCTGGACTCAAGCTATGGGGGGTCTGGCGTTCTTAAAATGCTCCACCCCCTGGACTCCAACTAAGTCCAGACACATCCTGGGGGGCCAACATTTTAAACCACCAGTAGCTTTCTCAGATATTGCAGCCGAGCCTGGAAAGACAGGTAAGCCGAACTGATCCGAACCTCATGCTACCAGTCCTATGATAAGAAAAAAAGAAAAACGAAAAGAAGAAACAATAAATAACGTTTGAGACACTTTCAGAGAACAGAAAAGCAAAAGAAAAATCAACGAGCTCTCTCTCTCCACCAGGGGGGGGTGGAAAAGAGAGAGAGAGAGAGAGAGAGAGAGAGAGAGAGAGAGAGAGAGAGAGAGAGAGAGAGAGAGAGAGAGAGAGAGAGA